TAATCACTAATCACGGTTGTAACTTGTAATCTCAACGGAATTATCGGAATTCTGAATTATATTGATTATATAATGTTTGGATATAATTGATTATTGAAGAATTTGAAGCGTTCCGACTTACCATACGCATAATTTGTTAAAGTCGTTAAAGGGGACGCTTTTTAACCACCGTTAGAGGTAGGGGGACTGAGTCCCCTTGCGTCCCCCTCCCCACTTTAACCCCTGTGTGTATCCTTCCCGCATTTTTGGCCATACTTTTTCGAGCCAATTTTGTGTTATTTCAGTGTTAACCGAATTGGATTCTCCACTTATTGTCGAAAACACAGTATTATGTCTTGATCTAAATCTTTGAATCCAACCAGTGGAACAATTAAAATTATGCTTACCAAGACCTTCAGCTAATTCATTGGCTTTCTGTTGAAGAATTGGTCCATTTATTGGAATGCATAAATTTCTTTGATTTTTAAACCATCGTAGTAAAACCGTGTCTAAATCCATATGCGTACAATTTCGAAGTTTTTTAACTGACAATTTTTATATATTTAATATATTATAAAAATATACTATAATTTGTATAATATATTGTGTTGCTCTGTACAAAGCAATAAGGTGTTATTATAATTTTAGAAAGCACAAATTGGCACAAGAAATGTTATTGAAAGAACATTTGGTGTTTGGAAAAGGCGGTTTCCTGTGCTATCGGTTGGAATTCGAACTAAAATTCGAACTATTCTTGTAACTATTATAGCTACAGCAGTATTACATATACATAATATGCTTATCAAATCAAATGACCCTCTACCTATARATGAAACTCTCCTAATTGAAGATTTGCGTCAACAAGTTCCTGTATATCTTGTTTCTCAAACTGGGAACATAAACCGCAGAACATTAATTGACACTGTTTTTAATTAAATATGTAATTTTGACTGTTACTATATTTTATATTTTACTATATGCCTACAACATATAATATACTACATATTATAATTATTATTGTTTTATTTTTTTATTAAATAATAACTGAATAACAATACTTCCTTGTAATAACAATAAAATTACAAAAATATAAATAGATAGAGTTAAGAAAGATATTTCAGATACCGACGAGATAAAGCGATTGGAAAATGCAATGGACCGGAATATATGGAGAAGTTTGGTTGAAGCGTGCAAAATGCCTTAATGGCTTGTATAGCATAAAAAAAAATATATATAAATTAAACATTTTTTTTTTATTATATTACTATTGGGCGCGGTTGGTGAGAAATCATCATTAGTATGACCGTTCCATCATCACGAGTTTCCTGGCGCACTACCTCGGGCGTATTAATCCGTGTGTTGCAAGTCAACCTCAATCACTGTTGGGTTACACAGCAGTTTTTGTCGCAAACGATGGCTGAGCGGGAAGTCAGTGTGGCCCTGATTTACGATTTTTGTCGCAATGTGTCGGATGTAGAGA